ATTTATGTTTAATTAAATATAAATATTGTTGATTGTATCTCTATTATACATCCAATTAGGCAAAGGATTATTTTCCAAAGAAATAAGAAAATTTTATTTTACAGAAATTTTGCTCTAAAATTGTAATAAATAACATTTTCTGCGCTACACAAAAGTCGGTGAATGCTTAACATCTTCGTCAGTGATTTCAAAATCCCGAAGAAATGATCTGTTACCGGAGATTTTGAGATATCCTGATATTAGAGTAAGACTTAAACTCAAATTCTGTGTGTAAATAACAATATCTTTGAAACAAACTATTGGAAATACAGGTAGATAAGATCTAGATATAAGCGGTAGGAAGTTAAATCTATGTTTGTCGTTAAAATAAACTTGAAAGCGTTTACTATGTACTTGACTGATTTCTTTACGACTATCTTACCATGGAATTTGCCATTGGAAACAACATACCCAACGTAAACACCCCAAGTAAAGGTCCAGCCGTTATTCCCGACAAGCTTTTACCAGCCTGAAAAAAAGATCAATAGCTCTCTATAATCAAGAATGAATCGGGAAACTAATTTATGAATTTTTAAATGATCTGAAAACACAAACATTCGACATGATACGCGGACGTTTTACCTGAATCAAACCGGATAGTTTTTCCACCATGAAGACGAGGCCCACGCAAATGGCTCCTATTATTACAACCGTGGCTTTCATTATGCGACTCGCGCCGACGTTGGAGATCGGCTTACGGAGACACGGCTTGATCATGTCTTCGTAGATCACGCCCGACATGGAATTCAATCCGGTTGACATTGTACTAGAGGTCAACAGGTGAACGTATTATGTAATCACAAAGACGGAGAATAATCGGATGTATAGAGCATCAACGAGAGTGAGACTCTCTCACTTTCGCTAATCAATCTTTTCTTTACTTGTAGACGTCAGTAAATACTATAATTTAAAATTGACGCGAAATCCGCAAAAAATACAGTCGGAAAAATATCCGTATATTTCACAGTACCTTAATGCCGCACTGAATACACCGGAAACGAATAGTCCTGGCAAGCCCGGTATCGCGTCTGACAACTCCATCACGAAGTATGGTAATAGTTGATCGGGCTTTTGTATTTGCTGAAACACAATCTTTTAATTAATCTTCGCCGAAAAATTTTATCTAATCTACGTAAGATTGCCATGGAATTAATGAAGAATTGATCATAATATTGTCATGGATTTTGTTTAGATTAATTAAGATTAGAGACTTTAAGACATTTCGAAAATTTACTTTCCTGCGAATCGCCGAAATCTCTTTACCTTTGTCGTGACCGGATCACAGTCATAAAAGGCCGCGTAGATGACGATTCCCGTGTAGCAGCATAATGAGACAATGCTGACTATGCCTACGGCCATTATCATAATCGCCCTAGATACAAAAGGGGGATTAAATGAGCAAGACGCGCCGCCGTGCATCATAAAGCATTTCTCAGACTTACACATTGGACTTCCGCAAGTTCGGCATCGCCAGGCACCTTTGCACCATCGCTTGATTCACCGAACACGTGGCTAACCAATTTAAATAGTTGCCGACCACCACGGACCAGAAAGTATGCCTCACCGTAGGATCCGGATCCATACTGATTAAAACAGGAAGAGAACGAGTAACAACGTCTATTGTGCAGTACTTACATGCGATAAGGGATTGATAAAATTATAACTGAGCGTTAGTGCAGCACTATAGGAAAATTAATAACAAATTGATTATAATAACAACGATAGAGAGGAGAATCCGTTCGTACTTGAAAAACTCAATTCTTCCGGTATCGAAATTCCTTTTCCATACTTCCGTCACCCCGCCGACCCTACTTGTGCCGAGTGCCGCTACGGCGATGACGGCACCGAACATTAACACCGTTTGAATGGTGTCTGTCCAGACGACCGCTTTCAAGCCACCCTAAAATGAAAGATTATAAAATGACCGATCATACTAAATTTTACGATATTGAATAATGCTATTATTTTGCTTTGAAACGCTTATTTTACACTTAGCATTAATAATAGAGTCGTCTGATTATATAATTTCTTATAAAAATCTAATTTGACGGCCACTAACATTTAAAAGTGCAAAAAATTTATCTCTTCGTGGCGATGCTCGAATTTAGGCGATGTTCTTACCAGCGTCGTGTAGAAGATACACACGGCGCAGACCAGCAAGGCGATCGTGTAGAGGTCCATTCCAGTCGCCTGATTGAAGGCTAGCGCCGGCACGTATATCACCAGCGGTATGTAAAGCAGCTGCAAGCGCAAGATTGCTCGACGTGACGAACAGCTCGCGAGATTGACACGTACCAAGTTCAACGCTTCGATAAATTCTTAGTATTTCTAGCAATTCTAGCAACGTTGAGAAGAGCGAATTTAACAAGGATCTTTCTACTCAAAACAACGGAGAATAAATTCAAAGAACACGGATTTGCGAAATTTCCGAATTAAAGATTTCTGAATTCATTTATTTATTTAACAAAGATAGATCTCACCATCTTGATGATGAAGATAACTGATCCCATGAGCCTGACCACTCGATTAAACCTCAACTCCAAATACTGCAAAAATATCGATATTAATAGCATTAGTTTATCGTTACATAATTCATTATTATATGGATTTGATCATACCTCATAAGATGACGTAATTTGAAGCCCGTAAAAAACTGGCAGATACACGATCGCCATCGTCAGAGACACGAAAGAATCCGCGATCACGATGCACCATAATTGCGTACCGTAAACATACATTTCGGCCGGCAGTCCCAACATTGCTATGCCCGACACGTAGCTGCAATTTCAAGACGCCGTTCTTAAAACAACTCGTAACATTGCAATATTCATACAAGGTGAATTTAAACGACGCCATAATTTTTCAACTAATATCAAATGCACGAATTATGGAATTTTACGCTGTCGATTGAATGTCAAGTTGTCAATTTGCAAAGCGATGAACATTTAGAAGCGATTGATGACTTCTTCTAAAAATCAGATTTTACTAGTACATATATGTCATTGCACAAACATATATATATAGTTAATATTTCTTCTAAATAAATTTATAAATTTTTACAATATATATCAGTCAAAAAAAAAATAAATAAAGATTCATTAGAAATGCAATTTCACCGGGTTCACCAACGCAACCTGTGCTTAACTCAGAAGCAGACTCATAACAGTTACTGTCAATAAAGCGTTAACAGCGAATGACTAAGATAGATGACTTAGAATAAATTTTCTTATTCGGACACGTGGATCAGTGACTATTAATAATTTTACAACTTTAACTAGACAGCCTTGACAACCAATTGAAACAAACGTCACCTCACGGAAATTGGAAGTGCCCTATATACTTCCGGTTAATAGAACAGTTCCTCTACAGACGTTCTATATTTTCTCAGTGAGTCAGTTATAAATTAATTAATCCGATTACTTTTATGTATCATATATTTCAAGAAAACGTAAAAATTTATTACAAAATCTTAGAAAGCATATATTTGTTTCTCGACATTACGACGTCAAGCTGAGAGACCTGGTAAAATTTAATTTCTTACCTTGCTATCAGTGACATGCTTATTGGAAATATAGACATCTTTTGACCGCCTACGAGGTACTCTCCCACAGCGTCTGCCTTCTTTCTAGACGCATAATACTGATAGACGCCTACGAGGGCAGAAACGCCCAGCATTCCAATGAACACGATCAAATCGACCAAGTCGAACGATCGTCTCTCCGTTGAATCCATTGCCTCTCAAGTTTGTTTTATCAGATAGAAAACCAATCTAAATCAGATGTTCACAATTTTATACTTTGGCACCACCGCGGACATTATATCATTCGATTCGGGTGTTTGATATTCAATATTTATAGCAGACTTATAAAAATCCGCGTCACAATTATCTTTCGTAGCGCGTAAAATCTCCAGCCCATAAAAGTGTGGCGATCGTTAAAACTACATTTAGCGAATTTTAAAGATGATAAACTTATGAAGACGCATAAAACTTTGCGTAAAATCGGTCCACGAACGGTATTGCACTTGTAAAAATTTCCTTGTTTTCACATCGCTCAGGTTCTAAAATTAAAAAATTACGTGTCACTAACACAGATAAATTCGTCAAATTTTTTCAAAAAATAGAATAGCAGAAAATCGGATAAATAATTACGGTGAAAATAATTGAATTCGATATTATTACGAAATTAACACGCGTCGCTCCGACTCGTTTGATCTCGCGCCGAACCGAGATTTCGAGATTGCGCGATGATATGCAGCAACGAGATTATGAATGTGCCGCTTCTTCTTCTGCGCGCTCTGCAAAACGTCTGTGACGGTGAAAGAGCGACGCGTTAAACGCGACTCCACGGGCCACGATTGAATAATTGCGGATTCTCCTCCGCCGCTGCTCCACATCGCCCTCGGCCACCGCCTTTCGTGATTGTACTTTATGCGAGTACATGAAATTGTCGATAGATTTTGCGTAGATTGCTTTTGTTTTGATTGTGCCCGCATTAATCTTTTCCTTCATTAATTTTGGTTGCAAGTAGAAAGAAATCTGATTTATCATACACTTAAATACAAGAATAAGTTCATGACTTTTATAATAATTTATGACTTCTATTATGGTGCATTCACTGACTTAAATATTATTTCTTTTTTTCACAACATTTATAAATTGCAAGAAAATTAATGTCACAGTAATGTTCAAAACCGATGAATTTTTTCTACATCAAAATTAAATTGATTCAAAAGTAAATAGCATACGTTAAGAAAGACTATTTTTTGTCTAAAAAAGACCGAAGTACATAATAAAAAGAAGATTGAAGTTGAAAGAAATTTCACTCTATCATCAATAAATTGTTATATATATTTTTATTTACAAGAAACGAAGTTGCTGCTTGACAAAAACATTTTCTTATATTTCTTATATTTATACCTAAGTTCAAAAAATCTTAGAATAAAATAACGCCAAACGTTCAAGATTGATGCAAAAGTCGCAGCGTTTTTTAAATGAATGTAATCAAAACAGACGCGAATTAGTTTCTATATTTTCCGAGCGGCATGATAACAATGATAAAATACTGTCGCTCGAATCATAAAATATTGATCTTCAGAATATAAATATATCTCGGTAACTAACATATATTTCGGAAAAATGTACAATGGAATGTATATTACGCGACTTTCCTTAACAATTAATACTCATGACAAGTAAAATTCTTCACGCACAAACATCAGTAAAATCCTTAGCATACAAATATCATAGCATCTACAAACTTTATAAAATCGTCGTATTAACGCATTTCGATTATCTTAAATATCTTATTTATTATAGTTCTATAATTAAAATCAAGCCAGATTGAAGCTTCTTATTTACATATATCTTGTGATGATATGTAGTGATTAATGAATTAACTAAATGAACATATCTAAACTATTTATCGATACTTATAATAATTTTCATTCATTTATATATATATTTATATTTTACACAAATAAATTTCTATACCACAAATATTTCTATATCGGAAAAATCCGTCGAAAAGGCACGCGCATTTCATATCTTTTAATTATGTCAGATCGTATCTTATCATAAAAAGACATGTCTTAAGTCACGTGGATGTTACAATAATATAATAATAAGTACGATAATATAATCAATGTGAAGCACTGACAGATTCAGATCATATGCCGACACGCATTTTGTCAAGAATAAACAAATTTACATTCTACATCATTAATACAAATTTATTATGTCACGAAAAATTGTTTAAAATTAAAATATCAATAAGCAATATCTTAATTATCAATACTATCCGAAAATAAAAAGTTGAGAAGCGATATATTGTCCATTAAATTAACTGATATTACTAATAAATGTTTTCATGATTAAAATAATTTATGAAATATTTAATTCAAGTTAAATATTTAATTTAAGTTAAATATTTAATTTTAGTTAAATATAATTTACTTAAGTACATTAGCAGGAAAGTTAAGAAAAGCTTGTTCTCAAAATCTCTTTATAATCGTTTAGTATTCTCCATTTTCGAACTTACAATTAGTTCGCGAGCAATCGTTAAAAGTTTTTTAGATCTTTTCACTTGCATATATCAATGGAAAAACTAAAAGTAAGCTAAAAGTAGACTATCCGCTACATTTGTAGCTCGACTTAAAATTAAGAGCTGCCTTTGGGCAAAGTTAATATCTTCGTTTCTGGAAGACGTTGATCCACCCTCGAAGGAGATCACATAACGAAATGAAAAGTGCACTAATGTATAAAAATTAAAACTAATTCGCTAACCGCTAAGAATGGTGAACTGACGTGTAGATGATTAAATCTAAGACCAGTGATTGCTACGCGGGACGAAAGTAAAACATTTTATTTTCAACTGATATAGTAAATTTTTTGATTACTGAAACAGAGCCGTATTTTTAATTTTGCCTAGAGTTTGAGTTATAAAATTAATCGATGAAAATACAATCTATTTGAAAATTCTGCTCAAAATTAATTACGAGTATTTCAATGTGCATAAATATTATTTGATTTTCTAGAGTTTATATTTCATATCATAAAAATTGTTAACTAAAAGAGAAATTTGTTTAAATCATTATTAATCAGAAAAATAAGTTATGAGTTTGAGCAACTTTTCTGAACATTTGTCCATTAAAATTGAGCATCAATCGAACACTTCCTCCAATCGATAAAAATAGGAGATTCTTCAGGAAGCAAACGATACTTGAGCGCGAGCTTATTTTGAGCAAGTTATATTTTACACGAAACCCAGCAACATTTCTAAAAGGATTGATTAAATTGAAAATTGTTCACATTTCAATATAAATTAAATAAAATTTTTATATTTGTAGTTACTCTGATAAAGTTGATTGACGTTGCCACAGGATTTAGCAACATTAGAATGCTCGATGCCTCGAGCGCTGGCTCGCGATAAAATTATTATCGATTTCCTTTCGTCCTCGCGTGCAACGTCACTGACCTATGCAAAGTGCGTCGTTTTCTACGCGCACATTTGCTCGGAAGGCCTTTCATGGACGGAATGGCTGATAAGGATACGATTCTCAAGATATATTCATTAAGTACTTATTGCTAAAGCATGTACAGACGCGCGCTGTGCATAGTTTATAATAAAAATTTTCGCACTGATCTCGATCGCGTTAACCTTTATTTTAGCGACTGAGCGAATAATCATTAAAATAATCGTAAAACACTGCAGAATGATACAATTTGTAAATATTCTTCGAAGTATTTAACGCTGAACATTATTTAATACTATAATAAAAAAATTTTATTCGTAAATATCCTTATAATTGATGATATCCGAAATGCTATTAACATTGATGCACAAAGCTATCGTTGCCATAAAAAATAAAAAATAAATTTTTAGAGATATTTGAAGAGTCAATAAAATAACGTTCAACCAATGAGAAAGTAATTTTAAAAGCACTTAGTCTGTTTTACAACAAAATGGTTCCTTATGTCGGAGTTAATATTATAGCTGCGGTAAAGCGAGACGTCTCGCCATGATGACAGCAGTTTAAGAGCGAGAGCATTAAGTCGACGGAACTGCACCACGCGCGTCTACATCGCGCGAGTGTGTCGCGTTAATCATTATTTAATTAAGTCACACAGCCGCACGGTTCGCGGAGGCGTGATACGCGTTCACGAATCACTCCAAGCTTATGGTACTATTTTACATCTGTACAAATAACTTATTAGGGCGATATTCATAATCTCGGCGTATAAACGACGCAGATATTCTTCAAAATATTATCATTTTTTATTCACAGCCTAATTAATCTATAATTGGACATAACTATGCATTATTCTCAAGTTCTAATAAAAAATGTTACACACATATGTTAACAGCAAATTATTTGATTTATGATTCGTCATTTAATGATGAAGAATCATTGAGAAATAATGTAATTATGATATGAGTAATTATTCTATGCGAGGCTGTGGTCATTCATGGAATAACAATTGACTATAAATATCGCCCTTAGAAACAGTTTAATATCTGTGACAATTGTACGAATTTTATTCGAGAAAGACAAAGTAGAGTGATGTTCTCGTTCAATCGCTCATCACTAATTATCAACAAAATACTTCGAAAAAACGTAAGAAATCTTACGAAATATTCCAATATGGATTCACAGAATAGGAAGGAGTAAGCGCGTCACGTTGCATATAAATTACATTTTGCCACATCCTTTATTACGTTTCTGTTTCGAGATAGTTTGAGCCAGAGTTATTCAAGGTTTCAATATGATTCTTTCCTCAAACGTGGCTTTTCAAACACCTTTTCCTCTTTCTTTACAAAAATGATTATCACAAAGTTACTTCAACTGGCTCCGCGGTGGAACTTCACATTGTGCACATTGTACATTTTTAGGACAAATATTTCTTTTCAACAATTTTTTTAACAAAGTCAATCTTGCGTGTGTTGTTATTTTTTCAATATTAAATATTCAAAATCTGTAACCTTAAAACGCGCTCTCGCGTGCTTTCGTCCTCGCCTATGCGATCTCCGGACTCGGCGTCATCGCCGGATTATCGTAGACGTAGTCGAGAGTAGTGTCCTCGCTGGCGTGTCGGCGCGAGAGAGGTGTGCTCGTGGTATTCGGCGAGGTGTTGCTCCCATTACTATTATCCGTGCTCTTGGACTCTGTTTCCACTGTGGCACTAATGCTCGGTATAGTCAACTTGAGACCGTTTTGTTTATTCGCGTTGGCTTCGACGTCGTCTTGCACTTTGTTCTTATTAGCTGCCTGAAACACAGCGAAATTAAAGTGTCAAAGTACCCGTAACTGCATTACAAACAGCACGTAAAGAGTATTTTAATAAGTTTGTCAGTATAGCCATTCACTGCTTTAAAATCTGAAAAAAGAAAAAAAGAAAAAAGAATGTGCTAAACTTTTTTTTTTTTATATAAACTTGTCACATTTCAGCACTTCATAGAAAACTTGTCACAAAATAAAAATAAATCTTCTGAAAAGACCCATCGCAGGTCACTTTACCTTTATCAAGTTATTTCTGAATAGGGCTCGCAAGAATTTTTGGATTCTTTCCCACCAGAATAAGGTCCTTCCCAGCAGATATAATATTCCGAGTAGTGAAAAGCAGATCAATACGATCACGACCGTGAAATTAATCTTGAGCTTTGCCACTTCCGCTGTAGAAAAAGAATAGACTTTCAAAATAAAATATCTTAGCTAACAATGAGGATTTGAGTCAGGTAAAGATTACCCGAAAATATTAGTGTTCTATTCTCAACGCATTGTTGAGAACATTTTTGACATTAAAATTATAATAAAAGTTGTCATACCAATTAATACATTTCGGTAAAATATTTATATTATTAGATATATTAAGTAATTCTTACACAACTCTGAATAATTTTATTTAAAACATTCACGAACAAAATGAAAATAATTTTTAAGAAATTCGAGACTAATTAGCAAGATGCAACAATATTAATTGCATAACGTATCGCTTTGTAACGAATCGCTGATTTTAAAAGATACTTGGAAGTATTTTCAATGTTCGTTCTCGTGAAGCTTCGAGAGTGAAAGTTAAATCGCGATGCGATGTGAAGTAATATCGCATCAGAAAGGAAAAGTCATCCTGTATATTGAATCTAGAATATTACAAAACTTACAATCACTCTTCTGTAATCACCGATTATGCAAGACTGATACAAGATGGTATTAAAATACTAAATCTTGTTGCGAGTTATTTAAAAAATTGCTTAAAGAAAAATACTTATAGTCTACTGCAAATTTATTACGAATCTATTGGAAATTTACATTTCCATGATAAAAATAAATATGAAATCAACAACGATAAATGATAATAGCGTTTTTTTGCACTATTAAACGCGGTAATTACGAGCTGAGATGCTCATGTGAGATCTGCGTCGTTGAGATCTCCGGTTCGCGCACGATTTTTCTCAAGCATGCACGACAATTATGCGCATATTTTATTCACACCTAAGCCCACTCACCTCTGAGATCATCATAGCGCTGATCTTGAAGATCCTGAAGATAAACTGAAATCAAAAGAAATGACAAATAATCAATTGATCGTCTCGCACGTATAGCGCACGTTTCGAGCTATCTTTCTCAACATGTGTGCTCGAAAAGTTACAACACTTGCATTAATTGTATGTTTGAAACATACAGTTTGAAATACAATGTTTCATTAAAACTTTGAGTTTACCAGTCATTTACTTAGAAAGCGTTACAGACTCTAGGAACGTCACAAAACTAGAAGATTTCTCCAACCATGACTGTTAACCATTATGTGTCAGTTGCACGGAAGGGAAACTCGACGTTATTGTTCGCATAATGAAAGCCGAATCAATTAGTTTCAGGAAGATGATTCAATTACAGTGTGCGCCACATTAATTAATTGCCTTTTTACAACATCCCTTCAGTAATATGAATATAATATTAATATATTAACTCATCGGTATGGCAATATATAATTTTCTTTCAGAATAAAAGTGTGAGCATAGAATATTAACAAAAGCACGTAATTATAATTAAAAATATTTACGATCAGATGTACAAACTTTTACAAATTAATTTTATTCTATGTCGATGAAATGAAATGCTCATTTATTTTTGCATTTACCATTCTGTCAAAACACGTGCTTTCTCTTTGCTTATTTTATCTAATTGGGAGCTTAGTTTGAAGAAAATTGCATTTCATAAAATTACAATTTAAAATATCTACGATCAGATATGTGTATATAAATTTTTACTCGTTAATTTTACTCTGTCTGTAAAATATTCATCTATTCTTACATTTAACGTTCTATCAAAACACTAATTGCAAGTCTATTTTGAAGAAAATTGCATCTTATAAAATTAATTCTTACGTGTAATCGATTCGTTTGCCATCACAATCGAACATGCTTCTTTTTAACATTCTCACTATTTCTTCTTACGAGTCAATGATCTACCTGTCAGAAGACTCACGCTATCACCGATACGCCTGCGTAAAACCCAAGAAGTCGGTCGCGATAGCAACACGTGGCGCAAACAATTCCGACCTACGGTTGCTTACATACCTGCGGCACGTGAGTGCGCGTAATCGCGAGCCCTTATCGTGACTGTAAACGCGAGATGACCTCGTTCCAAAGCGAAGAGGGAGGCAAACGTTCAACCCAGACCTGGGACCGCGAGTTTGCGCGGATCGATCCGCGAACGCTTGGTCACGATGATGATAAGATTCGTAAGCAAAAATCACCCGGGGAACAAAGATATTCAATTTCATCGATTAACACCAGCCAATTTTATTGTACTAAATAATAATTAAATAATAGAAGCTTGAAAATATTGAATTTAATTATCAATTTAAGTTGCATTTACTAGAAAATTTTTTAATATAATTTAGATAACACGCACATTTGCTGCGAAATACTAATAGTTTGAATACTAATGCCCATTTCCACCAATATAGATTAACTTTAATCTCGCATTCTTAGAACTAGTTCTTAGAACTAGAAAAAGGCAAAGAGTAAGTTGAACCGAGATTAAAGTTAATTACGTTGGTGGAATCGGATAAAGAAACCTAAAATGATCTTTATCGTTTCAAGATTCTTGACCGAAAATCTGAAAAGAATGTCCCCGATGGTTCCGATTTCATCAGACTTTTTTACTAAAACGAGAGTCAACAAGTTCTCTTCCTTAACATAGAATTTGTACATAAGCCCAAACTGAGTTTACCGACAAAATGTAACCGGACACCGTGACCGAGGACTCTCAATGGAGTACTCGACACCCATGGGGACCTGACGGAACTCCACACGGATAATTTTATACGCTAAATCGCTCCGTCACGCGAAGGGGCCTCTTTTGATGTAGAGAAAGAAAATTTCATTCCTTATGCGTCTCGATGAGGAGCAAAGTCGTTTCTCTCTACCTGTTGGAACATGAAACACACCTTCCCTTCCCCACCGTAAAACCATCGTTGAATTCCAAGCAGAAACGGGACGAAAGAAAAAGGACAACGAGGAAAGAGGGGAACTAAAGAAGCTGAAAGGAAAAGGATGGCGCCGAAGGCGGCAGGGAGGAAGAAAAGAAGCTAGATGACTCATCGGCCGCGTTCGCGTGTGGGAAGTCGGTAGGGACAGTCAGGTGCAAAGTCAACGGACCCGAGAGCCCAGGTTGGTTTGCCCACCAGCTCGCTCGTTCGTTTCATCGCCGCGCTCCAACGATAGCACCGTGCTACTATCCGGTTTTCTGTACGCGCCGAGACTTGACGCATGAAAACGAGAAACCGGAACGATTAGGACAATGCATCATGATAACGTGATTAATCCTACAGGAAACATCGGAAATCACGGATTATAAATTCAAATTTGCGAGATACTAGCCGAAACAAAAATGTTAATGTAATTGACATAATTATGGATTAAATGCGGCGAGTGTAAAATTTGAATATTTTCATATTTGACGATATCGCAAATTTTTATATTTTCATCACAGAAGCTGTTCTTTAAAATATGCTAACAAAGTGGAGCTCTTGAAATTTATAAATTGTTAGATCTTTAGACATGTTTTCGTATTTAAAATATTTCAACTTGGATTTGCGATTTTAATAACGCCACGTGACGGAGCTATCGCGTCTTTTTTGCTCGACAAGGCGATAGCATATGAAAAGCACATAATACGCCTCGTCGTAGAATACAAGAAAGCAAAATATTTTAGCGCTGGTTTACCGCACTTATTTATTTTTGTACTTTCGATTTACACATGACATTGTTGCGCGCTATCCGCGCGCTTGCTATCATTCGCAACGCTCGAACAGCGGATATATTTACACAAAATATATTGATCGCTTACCTTGACACTTCTGCGCGCACTCTTCCGGTTCAGAATTATGACTGTTGACATCGCAAGCAATTGCACAGGATCTGCAATGATTGTCGTAAGTGCTGCAGTACTCCAAGATATTGCAATATTTCTCAGTGCCGCACTTGACACCTTGTGTATTTAAATTAGCCAACGAAACATCAGCCAATATGAAGAGGCCGATGATAGTATTGATCAGCAACGTCATGCTGTTTTTGATCACATTCGAAAACATTTGGTCAAAGCGATGTTGGATCGATGCGCAGTGGGCTTCGTCGACCGGTTCGCCTCTCTCCTTCCGCGTCTCTTTCGTAATCCCTTCTTTTTTTTTGTCTTTCTCTCTCCCTCCTGCGTATCTTGAATCGCAAATTTAGGACACGATCATGACTCGCTCACGATCCGCAATCAACTGCTCGCAGTGAGTCCTTAGCGGCACTCGAAGAGGCTCCATGCTCCTAGCACTAAAAGAATTGCGAAGAAACTTTCGTTATATTTGCATTATGCGATATCCGTTAAAAATGTTTATTTAGATTATATAGTACGACTCAAAAATTATCGATATTTTGACATCTGAATAAAAAATAAAATAAAATCAGCTTCGTAAGCCTTCATGAAACGCCGCATGTGAAGTATTTTTGCCGCTGAGATATTCGCAACGCTAGGACGAAATCATGTGTCACATTAGATGAACGAAAATCAAAATATTTTCGATACGAGAGAACAATCAATCAACCGAATGGTCGTCTCCATCGAAGAGACTCGGATATGTGAATTGATAAACAATGATGACAGCAATCGACCTAACGGATTCGACATAAAAATTCGATAGAAAAATTAAGAAAAACAAACTCGCTATCGGGTGTCCAAATTACAAATTCCACTAAACACACATTCGATTTAGTAATTGCATAAATTTTTGGATATCGTTAAAATTAAAATATTTCTCGAGCATCCACTAAAAGAATGTTTTTTTAATTTGATTTATTTAATATTAATTTATTAATCATGCTCTTTAATTACCAAAAGAAAAATGTACAGAGATAGCTGTCTATCTTTAAGATTCTCTAAAAAGCGTGCAAAAATTCGAGAGCTTGACTATATGTATCTTTATCACAGCATGATTTCACAATTATGATCGAGAATTTGAGCACACGGAGAATTTTTAAGCAGCCAGATGTATTTCGTTTGGCTGGTTAGTCGATAGCGTCGCAATGCCAGAGATGCGCCATGCGTGTACGGTATGTCACGCATCACCTGTATCTCAACACCTGTGTTAACGCACACGTGAGCGTGACTGGATGCATCAAAATGGCCTCTAGCATCGTACAACAGCAGAGATACTTTCGCCTCGGCTTCTACCGACGACCTCGTTTTATTGTCACGTCGCGGACTATGTTTTATAAATTTTTTACGGCTGCTGCTCTTGAGAGCAGCTTTATACTCGTACGTGACGTTCACGTAGGTGGCTGTAATGTTAATAACGTGTACTGTGAATTATAATTATGACAGATTGTGACGAGTATCGGCAATCGCAATAAATAGATGTTATAAAGGCGTTTGAGAAACGCCCCGCTGATTGATGGATAAGTTTAAGTGAATCAGAAAAGATGACAAGACAGATATAAATCACACATACTTCTGTAAGCCGCATGCGGTTTTTGAAATAAAATAACGCGGATAATGAGAGACTAATATTCTCAGGGCCGCGTCGTATCGCGTCTGACTCATTCCTCGTATCAACCGGCGAGGTAAACGCTTACATACTTCATGTCGTTTCCGACGTACCTTCACAAGGCGAAAGAAAATTGTTCCTGATAGCGACACACGCTTTCGGTCGATGACGGAAAGATTGAATTATTTCTGCTGATCGAAATATTTCATTGTAACTTTTTTTCGATGGATTTCTTTAATTCAACAATTCAATAGAGTATAACTCATTTTTTTCAAAAAAATTAATCAGAATCTAATAAGAAATTAAATTTAAAAAATCTAATCTTAATTAAGAATTTAAATTCAACTTGCGTGTAATCGCAAATTAACAGTTGCTTCGACACAGTATGAAAAACGACAATGTTATTATATTTAGCAATGCAACGGTATGTTAAGTTATGATTTCTTTATCAATGTTTTATACACACACACACACACATACACACAATCACACTTATCTTTCTTTTTATTACGCCAGCACCATTACGGCATATCGCGTGCTTTTAAGACACATCCACGATGCTCAGTTGCCGGATATTATGAGTTTTCCGCGAGTCGCAACCTCACTCGCGATCACGCGGATGCATATTGTAAAGAACACTCGTTGCAATTCGCTACGTGCACCAACAAGCGCTCTGTGGTACACCTGGTACCGAATGCACACAATGTGTGTAGGCGTACAATGCTTTAGGGTGTCGCCTGGTGTTGTAACGAATGGAAATTGAATGCGAACGCATGGTATCGCCTATTCGAATAGAAACTCGAAGAGTATTTGCGCGAAATAAAACAGTGGTTTTATGCAAACTGTTTGAAAGCTATGAATAAACTTTGGAAATTGATGTAAGAAAAAAATTAAAGCTATTATTTCATTATTTTTATTTTTTTTATATAAAAGAAATAGAAATAATTACATATGTAATATCACTAATTAATATAGAAGCATTTAACTTCGTTTTTTTAGTGAACGTATTATTTTTCTTTTCAATCAGTATATATGAATCTTTTTGCTTAAAAAATTTATTAGTATAATAGGTTTCAAAATTTAATCTAAAAGTTTATTGTACGACAAAAATAAAATTTTATTATATTTTAAATTTTATTCGAATGAAAGGCGAGTTAGGCCGAGATTCGCCGTTCCGTTCGAGGGTTGAAAAATTGATGAACTTTTGAGCGAAAAAGTTTCTCAACAAATTAATTAAATTTTGCATAAAAAATTAATATTCTAGTAAAAATCATATTACATTTAAAATACTAATTTTTGTTAATTATTTTTTATCAAAGATCTTGCTATTAGTATCCGATAATTTGTCATTAATGAATTCAAATATAATTCCATCATATCCAAAGAATCTCAGTGACGACATTTATTTAATGACTGAGGAAAATTTTATCTCTTTTGTAATATTGTCATCATTTTGCTGCGTAAATTTGCGGATCTACTTTTCATTGAGTAGCAGGATCTCGATCGTAGGAAAGCGTCGCTAACTTTACCGCGTTCGGTGAGCAAACTTGGCACAAAATCAAGCACAACATTTACCAAGGAAAGTCCGAATAGAAGTCAGAGATAGGTGGTGGACGCACGTAAACGGGACGCAGGAATGTTGCCTGACTGGTTCCCCACCGAGGAGGGTTTTACGTGTGGCAAAACGTTACGGTCCCAAGCGTGTCGTCGATATTGTGCTCAAACTGCAGGCCATGATCGACGAAATAAATCATAAATTATAGTCCCCTTAGTTTATCAATATGTTAACTAATGCGATATCGACCGATTGTTCATAACACAATTGAGGAACTGAATGTAGTAACAACGTAAACGATCGACGCTGTTATCGCATAAATTCGATCTCCAAGATCTTTCGAGTTTCTTCTTCGTATGGCAAACTTAAATATTACGAATGTGAAGTGAGTAAAATTCACCTTCTTTTTGCAGAATTTTCAAATTAATTAAATTTTAACGTTAAAACTTCTTTTTTTATTTTAGTAATTAATAAGCTCATTGTTATTGTATCCAGCTTTTCAAATAATAATTGTTGACGCAGAAGAGTTTTTGAAATCTGATTGATTTCAATTTTAATTTTTTAAGAATATTTTTAAACTAGTATTTTTTTAAATTATAAATTATTAAAAATGAACAATTAAATAACGAAGCCTTAAAATTGACTCCGGAAATCAATTGCTTAATTGCAATTTTTAGAGTTAATTGTCTAATCCTTTTTAATTTAATCTTACGATTCGTTATGATTTTCTACACGTGCGATGTAAGAATATCAAATGTATGTAAAATGTTTTTTATAATGCACAAATAGCAGGCCGCGATTATCAGCCAAAGTCCCGACGACCCGGTTATTCTAATTGCAAACTGACTCATATCTCCGCACGTACTCAGTATCTCATTTCTTGTAACATCTCGCACGCTTTGATAACGCCACGCGCAACATGTAGCTTGGCCAGTCACGTAGTTTACGTCAGAATGAATTGTCGCGAGAAGTCGCGTCACACGCGCGATCATCTTCCGTATGACGAAATATCATGAATGCTGTGATAGCGATCGGTCTCGAAGAAACTGCTGTCACGATCCTGCGATTTCCCATTCTCGCGTAACGAACGCGCGGTGAACCAAGACGGACATTGTTCGACGGGCAACCGTGTATAATTAGCTGCTAATTAGCCGCTCATTACGAAGTCGTCTAATCGACTTCGGATATTTTCAAGTGATTTTCTACTTCGGGGTTACGCTTGTAACGGTGTAATGTCGCGCTCCATTGATTTGCCCTTGTCCGAGCGAGCGTGTAAGGCGGTAATGCATATTTAACGAGTTTTGTGAAAGCATCGTCTGATATCGGAAATACCGGAAATATACGTACAATATAAAAGTACATTGTACACATGTAACAGATAATGGACGATATATCTTTGAACCATAACAGAAATCGAGAAATCAATAAATTCTTCAGCTATTTCGAGTTGATTATTTTTTAATAACATTTCGATTACACGTCATTCTTACTTTTTCAATTAAGCGTAAAATGGAATTTTATCAAAAACCTTGAAGATTTAATAAATTTTTTAATTCTATCAAATTAAAATCTTAATATTCTCAAACTTGATAAAATAAAAATTCGAATTTGATCACTTTTATATATTTATACTACTTAAAATTAATTTATTCTAACGGGGATAGAAACTATTTATTTTTAACAGTTATAACAGTTTATACATTTTGGCAAGAAAAAATTAATTTTAAATTAGGCCACAATTTAAAAAAATAAAATTTGTAGTTATTTTTTCTGCTGAATGTCATGCAAATAGATGGTACCAGTGTTTCCGAGTAAAAAAAATCAATATTACATGTTTTCTTTTGTTTCGTGATAGATAAATCACGAAATTATCTCGGTATGCGTCAGGTTCGTCCGTCTTATCTATGCAACTGCGATCGTTAAAGTCTCCGCAGGTCCTCCTTGCAGCATCATCCTATTATTCGCTTGAAATGTAGCTCTGCGTTGCTTAAACTATAAATAGCTGCGCTCTATTTGCTTTTGTATATTTATGCCGATCGACTCTAATTCGATTCGAGCAGCTTGGTAATTGGATTCTCGCGCATCTAATGACAATGATAAATTCGAGTCGCAACGATGCTCTCTCGGCGATAACGCCGCGAATTACGTATGTGGAAAAATAGAAAGGCGTTTAAAGAAAAGTGAACCATTAGTCGTGCAAATGTCTTTGCAAGATCGCAAATATTGTCTACGATTCAGTCCTACTAATCCAGTTTTAAGAATAAATTACAAACTGCTTTCTCAAATAAATGATGCCAAAGTATCGTTTAGCTAATTTTGCGATGTAACGTCAAGGTGGAGCAAATACTAAATATTTTTATGAAGTCTGATAGTCAACTGGCAAACGCGATAGATCATTCGCTTACCCAGGCCATCCGTGAAGCGCATTTCGCTTCGCGCGTCCGCTAAGCGCGCGCACCCACGCACGATCACGCGCAATGCACTCCGACACCGTCGTCAGATTTCTGCATCGCAGAAGAACGTACACCGACACACATACGCGCACTTCGCGAATGTAAATTCGCACACACTGTAAACCGCGCACTATCGACGGCTTTCCGCGCTTGACTGTCGATCGGCGCCGCACCGGAGTCAGGCAGCAGCGACTTCCCCAGGTTCTCGAGACTCCCACCTCTCTATTCGAGAAGTCGGAGTCGCTTCGTCCCCTCCAGCCTGCGCCGCACCTGTCTCCCTGCCCCCGCGTTCACCTATTCCTCCACCTCGTCCTATGTTCGCTTCGCTTTTTTTCTTACCTGCTATTTACCTGTTGCCAGCTTGCGCGCGCACTCGCCGCGGGGATTCATACCGATGTCGATGGCAGGCCACGTGTCGTGAGCATGAAGGTGGACGCATCCTCGCAGAGAAACAATTGACTTCTATATTTATTTTTAATCGTACAGAAGTCCACTTAAAAAAAAAAAATAAATGCATTAGAGCGTTACCCGAATCGAGAATCCAAACGCAGATCTGCGTCTGCATTAAAAAAAGTTAACGCGAGTTAAAGCGTTTGCGATTAACGATGGCATCGTAGAATAACAATTCGTTAACGATGCGACGATAGAAAATAGAAATAAAGCTGAAAGCGAATAGACGTTAGAATAGTGAAACGTACCGTAGATGTAATGGGATGACGACATACATATTTATTGCATATTAAATGTTCATACAAAGATATAACATATATATATGACTCTCGCGTATTCGCGGCGCTACGGTGCTAACATTATTTATTGCGGATTAATATTGTTGTTTCGGAGGAAACGAGTTTATTATTGCACACAAGAGGATTATTCGGGGGGGACGATTTGTCGGGTGGTAAGTCGATATGTCGAACCATTTGGTGCTGTCGCTTCTGCTTATCGGAACGGATAACTGTGAGTCGTCGAGAGTTTCCTTTTTTTATTTTTTACTATTTTTTTTTTTTTTTACTTCTTTTCTTTTTTCGAAACCGGGAACAAGTCTCGCGGCTTCGCTCGTTGACTCTCCTTTGTAATTAGCTTTCGCGCTGCTTCGCGAGACTTATCGACTTTATTGCGCGTTGCACGAGACGAGATATGCGTTAGAGCGTAAAAAGGAAAACAGGAAACGAAAATCCTAAAGTCTCACGACACCGCTAATTTGGTGTATAGTTCATTGACCATAGGTACCTGCCGATTATCACATTGTTGGCCCCTACAATCATTGAAGATATACCCGGCGCGAGACTGCTTCTCGTTTCTCCAACCTGCCCAATTTGTATCACTATTTTTATCGTGCTAATGCAACTGAACAGTCACTATGACATCTTCTCGGTGACCATGGTGGGTGTACCAAGAGTACTGCCGGGTATTTTTTCAACCAGAGACACGATACGGACGACGGCAATTCACAGAATCGCGATGAATGGTCGAGAAGATGATCCGAGGCGAACGAAAGCGACATCATTAACACTCTCCTCCGTCGCCCGCGAGCAGATTCCTCCGATTGCGGGAAACTTGCGATCGCTTCCGATCGTCTCAGGTAGGAACAAATATCTCAGTGAGTCAGTGACCTCGAATTAGGTCCGGTAATTTGTGCGTTTTGCTTTTGATCGTTCGCGGTTTCTAATGGATAATCGTTGTGAAAACACCCTGTATAAAGTATTCTCCGCTGTTCTTCGCTCTTATCTCGTTTCTCTCACAATCGCTACTGAAGATATAACACGCAGATTGATTTTTCTCCAACCGCCGAAGTGTGCTCGAAACACAAATATCGGTTTAATACTGATACCTTTTTTAACTCGTTAAACTCTCTGTCGGACGCGCATCCGACACGCCGTACTGATGCACGCACGCACGCAACCACGCAGCGACATACCTCTTATTTTTCATTCATCTGTCTCTGCCTCGAGCAAATTCATCCCGGCTAAAATACACCATCATTTTCAGCCCATGAGAGCATTGCTCATTGACCGCAGGCATCTGAAATTATCATATCACTTATTATAATGATTCTTGCGATCATTGAGGATGCACGTGGCGATTGTCGATCGATGGAACGTTAGTCCCTTTGGTCATCCAGCGTGAGCCGTAGGGTAAAAATAATACAAGACAATTTTAGAGAAACGTAATATCTGATTAGTTGATTGAATTTAATTCTTTAATTGTTTAATTTTAAAATTGCATCTTTATTTGAACATCGTTTGCATTATTTACAGTATTATAATTATTTAGAATATTTTGCACGGTTTTTATCGAAACTACTATTAATCATCTTATAAAAATTTAGAAAACCGCAGTAAAATTTTTCCTATCGTAAAATAGCCGATTTTCTTTTGTATTAAGTATTTTCAATTTTTTAATTTTTCTAAATGGTAAATATTGGAGTAGATAGATACATTGTCTTCAACGTGATTACTTAATTTTATTTTTGTGGAGATGATTATTAATTCTTTTTTCTTATAAAAGTTTAGAAATCCGTAACAAAGATGGTTTACTTTTCTCGTAATAAAGTAGCAGGACGTTTTATAAGTGCTTTCACACGTAGAAATTTTTTAACTTCTCTAATGATACAACACATAACGCCCGACGGCTCATACGGCTGAGACCATTGAATTGCACCCTCAACAATCATGGGCAGCAAGGGCACTTTCGCGCAAGTTTTCAACCGCGGTAATCATCTCACGTACACACACTCTCTCTCTCTCTCTTTCGCTCTGAATTGTTTTCGTTCGCCGCAAATCGGACACAAGATCGCGATTGATTATTATTATTATTAGTATTAATATTACTACGATTGCAATATCTGTGATCAGCGAACGGGGAGCGCGTGGTGATTGATTTAATATATTCTGGACGTGATCGCGGGAAGGATCTTTGCGTTCGATTCCTGTTCAAATCTCTTTCCATTGCGGAATAATTTTACTATTGCTGTCAATATGAATTAACTAGTCTCTATATCCCAGATATCCCCATTTGTTCGCGAAGTTAAAACACAAAATGAAAATTTGCTTTACGTTTTTAATCGCTTGTAATTCCACACAAATATTTCTTTTCAAGAAAAATCACAACATTAAATTCATTAAGAACTCGATTGTTAAAAACTAAAATCACCATTTTTTTCGATCTCCTTTATAATTACAAAAAAATATACTCGTTTTTAAACATACTGGCTGTTTAAAAAAAGCTGAGAATCTACAATTAATTAAATAATAAATGTAAGAATAATTTCAGTGTTAGAAAAAACAATGAGAATTATTGATATTGCGTTTTTTCTCCAACCGGAATTCACCGTGGATAGATAAGTAATCGCGACGGTGATATAATTACCGTATTAGACATGTATACTCTACGAATTAAGCTGTCTTTACGTCGTAAATTACACAGGAGCGTAACAGCAAAAAGCCTGGCCGGAACTTGTATGTTTACCGTTTCTTTTTTTTCAACTAGCGAGCAAACCAGCGACTGCCACTAATATATACGTTTGCTGGACTCGAATTCAGTCTCTGTGCCGCTTGTAGGATCGAACTCGTGCAACTGATTGAGTTTGAAGAACAATCTGACGAACTCTGCATCGAAGCGTTCACTTGCCAGAATGACAATGTGAGTTTCATCAACGTCTGCGGGTATTTAGATGATGTATACAATGCACGAGCGTGGACATTGATTTCTCGCGCAAAACATGTTTCAAGTTGTGGCCATAGCTTTTACAAAGAAAACAAGGAAAATTGATTAATCGGAAAACGGACGGACGGGTGAAGTAAATCATTAAATTACGAGCAACGCCAATGACACTTAATCATAAGACGAACAAAGTAACAATCAAGTATAACGCACTAACAAAACATACGCTATCCGGGGATAGAAATAAAAACACAATTATTAACCTTTCCGTTACCTGGTCATTTTATTGTTCTTAACAGACGTCGATGAAATTCTCGCACAGGACTAATTTACGGTTTTTTTTTTTCTTTACTTAGATTCAGTCTTCACAGACCACTGCGTTTGCCGTATTAATTCGTGACTACATTAATACAAAATATATTTTATTATAATTTATGTAGTTAATTAATCATCATAATAATATTTATAGCTTCTTTTACGCTGGTGGTCGCGAGGAACCCGGCGTCTGTCTCGTTTCACGTTCGGTTCTCGGATCATAAGGAGGCGGAAGAAGGATTCCCACGGTGTCGACTTGAAGAATCAACATTGATTAACCGCTATCAAAATTGATTTTCAAATTGTCAACAGTCCGCAGATAGACGGGACAGTCGGGAAGAGGATAACTTGGTTCGGGATTTAGGCCTAAATAGACATATTTACACGAAAGGCCGAAAGGACAATTTCTTTTTCTTGCGTGTAATAAGCGTATTCCGAGAGGTAATTTCGTTAATTCAACTTGAACTTGAATTTCGTGAGAAAACTTTGCGCGAACGGATCGGGGATGAACGCCGCGTTTGCGCACCACCGTTCTACAGAAGATTGTTTTTTTTCATACCCATTCATGAAGATTTTGTTATACTAATATTTAATTCTATAAAGCGCTACTATTCTAAAATTTAATGCAATTTTTGTCCGTGTTCCGTGTTTTGTTTTTATGTGTATGAGTGTTTGTGTCTTCGTGTCACATGTGTTGTTACATTTCTATGTAAGATCTGCACTTCTTCGAATTATTCAAAAATTACCACTTCAAGACATGACGCGTAGGCATTCGACATTAAATAAATATATAATCGATGAAAAAATATATTATTAAAAAGTAGGTACGAATATAGGGATGGAGAGGTGGAAGGGGTTGGTACTGTTTTTTCGATGAATCGTAATACATTGCGTAAATAATTTTCTCTCGCGTCCATACCCTGCACACTCCACAGCTCCTGCCGGATCTCACTTTTATCTTATATGTGACTTTCATATTATTATTCTCGAAAAAACATTGTGTTAAAAATTTCCGTATCATAAATCTAGAATGCACGACAACGCTCGCACCCGATGACGCTATACACCCACAAACTTTACACCGTCGATGCTTTCGATCGACGATAATATTCCGGATATAAAATTAATCGTATAATTTAGAACATGAAATATACATATATATGTTTTTTTTTTGTTTTTAGACATACTTCCTTTATGTTTCAACCGCATATGACCTTCTTCCTTGGTCTCCCTCGTCACGCACAAACATACCCTTTTTCTCACTCGGTTTCATTCATTCTCTCTCGTTCCCTTATTTCAAATGTTACGCGTTCTTAGCAGTTTTATAATAATTAATTGAATCTTTCATCTTCGAATTTGTGTTAACCAACAAATGCCTTAACGCAACTGAAACATCTGTAAAGTATGAGATCATGTCTGCCGAGGAACACGCTTTCGAATCTTTTGGAGCGTGTATCCACGAGCGTGTCCCTCGACGCAAACGCGCGTCGAGGATTCTTACACTAATCGTATTTCTTAAACTCATTAATGTTATGTGCACTTTCTCACTTCGTTCCACGGCGATAATTCGTGTCACGTCTTGGCTTCGCGCACACCGCGAAGCCAAATAAGAATTTTGCAAACAAAACGCGAAACACCCTCGGCACCTTCACGAGAAATCTGTGATCCATTTTTCCCTTCCTCTTGCCCCGCCGACGAAGCTGTCTCGCTTTAATTTTGAACACCCTGGGATAATGATGTATCTCGATATTATTATTTCCAAGTCATCTCGTCTTGACACACAGCCTTAACAGTTAATGAACGGAACACGCGGACACATCATGCATTCTCTCTCCTTTCCCTCGATATTCTCTCTCTTACTCTCGCTTTCGTCATTTAAATTCATTCGTCGTCGTCTAAACTCTTCGTCGCTGTCGTCGTTAGGCGACAAAGTCGTGTGATAACTAGTCCGCGATTGACTTTGTCGCGCATTCTCTTCGGGAAAACAACTAAATGGGAGAGATGCTCAGTGTGCGCGATGCGGGTTAAAATCGAAGAAAAAAAATGGAAGGAGGGGGAGACTACGCGCCAATTCTATTGCACTTCACTTTTTCTCTCTCTCTCACACGCATACATATATGAACTTCATGTTCCTCTTGTATTGCTGGCTCGCTACATAAGCTAGTATCAGACTACACGCGTATTTGTAATCTGTGTTTCGCGAAAATTCGTTAATACAAACTCTTCATATTATTCGCAATTCACAATATATTGTTTATCCGTGCTTCGACAGTCATTTATTCCTTTCTCTCTCTTTCTCAGATCAAATAATTAGAAAAGCGTAAAAATACGAAGAGCGTAAAAATACGAAGAAATGTCACGAACAAGCACAATATATAACCTGTCGTACAGCGCTATATATGAAACAATATAAATCGATTGACTAGATGACTGGACATGTCGCTTCTCAAAAAATACGACTCGAGTTTCCTCCACATTTTCTGAATTCATCAAAATATCGTTCATTTGGCAAATTTGCGAAAATAGTGAATTACAAATAGTTAGAATCAACGAATTTCGTACAAATCACGAATACGAGCACAGTCTGTCGCTAGCCATGTAGTTGCACTATATTATATTCCGCAACAACACTTCTCTCTCGTCCATTTCTCTTTCTCATTATCTTTTTTTTGCATTCATACAATGTACACCAAGCATCATCATGCATACACGTGCACGGAGTCACACTTTTCCCTTCTTCTCATAGAATAACTTTACGGACGACGTATCAAAGTCGCCGATTAGTGATCTAATCGTACGCGCCATGCTTGCGCAAACGTGGACATATAGAAAATGGTAAGAAAAAAAGAAAAAAAAAATCGCTTCTTTGATTGCCTAGATGCGCTCGTCACTGAGAATTTTAGATGAAGAAGAAAATGAAGAGAGAGGATATTCTCTCGGTAGATCTAGACGACAAGATAGATCCTTACACGACGACTAATACAATAATATATGATTAAACACATCGAAAAGATTTCGTTTGAGAATCGCTGTCGGTGAACATCAACATCACGCTACTACTCGGCTCCGCGTAAACGGAATAACGAAACAGATGTGAATAAAAAACTTTAAAAATGAAAGAACTCTTGGTACGACAGCGATCCTGCGGCTCTCACTTCCCGAAAATCATATTGTTTCCATGTTATTACGTGCCTCGCGCCCAAAAAATTGGTCGTTCTGTTGCACGGGTCAGCCGACCCAGTGACGTCAATACACACGTTGTTCCGTCGTTAGAACGAATTTGAGGAATATTTCGATGATTAGACGATGCTCAAGCCGTGTCAATTTTCTTCTTTTTCCCGTCTTCATCGCTAGGCAATCGTTCATCCTCGCGCGTACTTGAACATCGCTTCGCTGCCTCTGTCGCTGATCGCGCTACAACTTCCACTTGCTGCAACTGCAGAGACACAAGCTCCAACAACCCGACGATCGTGCCACGCGGACACTGTCGTGATTCCCGCTGCCGCTGTTGTTGTTTTCCAGGCGATTGTTGTCGCTGCCGCTATGCATCGTCACGACGTTGTCGGTGATAATGACGGGAGTGAAAAGCCCGTTTGTGATGGCGGAAGCGGTGAGCGTCGAGCGTTCGCCGTCGACAACATCAGCAGGTTGCCGACTGTCCTATACTCAAATGCTGCTCGGCTTGACGCACAGCTCGGCGGCAACTTTGTCGCTGCTGGTGATCCGCTGGCTACTGCCTTCGGGTGGTGATGGTGACGCGCCGTCGGTTTCCGGCTTGTGAAGTGGCGGCTTTACCCCGTTCTGCACGTAATGGGTCAGCCGTGTAGGCAGCGAGCCCGCGTTTAATTGGTAGAACTCGACCAGCTGTAGCAGGTCGTAGAACTTGGTCGCTCCTTTGTCGAGAGTGTACAGCCAGCAATTGCGACGTTCGTCAAAGATCTAAAATGCAATAGAGACTTTGTTGATACTCGCTCGTGAGATATTTAAAAAACATGAAGTTGTTTGAAAGATGCTCTGCAAATTCGATACGATAGTTTGCTACGCTAGAAAGTTAGAAATAACAAGAAAACTGCATAAACTGGCAAAAAGAATATTGCAACTGTCAGATATCGATTATCGTTAAATAATATTGACATAACATTGAAATAAAAATCAAGCATTTAATATTGATTCATTCGACGGATTTAATCTGAACGGCAAAAGATTGGATATTTTTTACTTGAGCTTCCCGAGCCGGCGATACGTCCGCAGTAATTGCAGTGTCGGCTTTAAAGCAAACCACTGCAGAAAAAATTTCGCGTTAAACACATTTAACCGCCGCCGTCGTAAATTAACTTTGATTGCAAAAAAACGATCGTCGCTAATTATCGAGACTTACGGGCTGGATTTGCGCGTGAAAGATCCTGTCGTTGTACTTGTAAGTCAGCACGAAGGCTCCTGGATTGCTCTTGCTTTCTCTCACCAGAAACACGCTGAAAAACATGAAACAGAGAATTCTTGAGAACTTGAACGTTGTGGCAAATGCATATTTCAAACATGGACAACGTATTTCTCCGTGAATTTATTTCTCAATCGAATCTAAATTATTTTATAAATAATTGACACGCAATATGACGTGATGATGTTTTCATAAAGAAGCTGTGCAAAGCTATCTTGTGCGATAACTTTCAATGTTGGTTTTCTCGGAACATTCAAGCGATACGTATGTACATCAGCGGCCGCGGGAGAAGAGGTTAAAGAACTGCTGAGACGGACGATATCTGAATACAGAGCCAGTCAAGAGATTCGCGAGAGATAGGCCGCTTTTTGCGGTATGCAGACTGCACCCGGTGCTAGATCCGCGATACCAGGAAGAACGACGAAACAACGGCTCTCGTCCAGGCGTATTACGGTATAAATTAGTATGATCGTAAAAGGCAGCGGGACGAGGAGAGCGATAAAGAAACTGGCAGAGGCGGGAGGGGGGCGGAAGAAAGATACAGGTCAAGGGATGCAACGACGACAGGACCGACCGGTTGGTCGCGAGACAGGATACATGCGAGCGAGAGAGAAAGAGCCACGTCGTAAAACGATCGCAACGCGACCACGCGATTGTAAAACTCCGACCGATGGAAGAAACGGGTCTTTTTCCTCGCTCCTGATGCTCTAACATCGCGAAATCTCGCCGTTGAAGAATGAAAAATATCTTTTAAAAAATAACTCTTAACCGCAGAACGATCGACTATTGATTCCCTGCAATAAACTTTCATCAAAAACTACTCATAGCTTTCCGATCATATTCCTCAAATACTTTGCCATAGATTTTTGATATTTTTTTTTTAATAATACTTATCAGCTCGCGCTAACGGCATAGAAGTGAATGTTTTCATAAGGACAAATTTTGCAAAAAAGAAAGAAAAAAAATTGGAAAATTGTAACGCAAATTGTTCGCCGCGCGGCACATTTTTCAGTATCTTATCTGTATTATTTGTATACGACGATAACGTTTGCTGATGTCCGGTTATCATCTCTCATCAACCCTGATGCTTGCCCAATGGAATATTCATGCAAGTGAATATTCCGCGTCCAGGCAAGCAGATAACATGACGGTGACTCGTAGTCCCAACTACAGTAATGTCCAAGGACTATCCCGAGTTAGGATAACGACGTTACGGCCTCTGTATAGTACAAAGGAGCTACGTCCGTCGCTAGGATATAGGTTTCCTCTATCTCTCGAGCTACCCGCGTTAATTCGCAGCTTTGAGAGAGAGGGAGAGAGAGAGAGAGGGGAGGAGAAATATGACGGTTAGTAGACAATGCCTGGAGCGAGATCGATTAGAAAGTTTTTCGCGACCGACGACAACGACGACGGTCGTGACGAAGGAAACTCTCGCAGCGCGAAGAAATTCAGGTAGGAAGAAGGCACAAGGTGGGATTCGTCTCCGTCCTTTCCTCTCTTCCTCCCCTTTTTTTCCCCGTCATTGTCGAGAGGAAAGGAGAAAGGATGAGGAAGAGAATACGGCGGAGGCGGCGAGGCGGTGTACGATCGAGATTATGCAAATTTATGCAAGAGCCCCCCCGAACGAACGTAAAACCCGGAGACAACTACGTGATCCCCGAGCACTCAATTACCCGGGGCTAAGCGCGACGAGATAGATGGGAAGAGTCGTTAATTAACCATTTATCCGCGATTCCCGGCGCCGGTGCGGCAAATAAAAGATGAGATCGTGGAACAGGAAGAGAGACGAGGAGAGAGGACAGGCGACAAACCGGAATACCCGGCGAAACTCGCTGCCACTCGATCGGGTCATGGCCCGACAGAGGAGGTCATCAATGGATGATCGACGTGACGAATCGAGGCTCGATCGCTGCGAACGGAATGTGTAATCGTTGAAAAGCAATTGGAAAGAGGCGAGAAAGAGACACGGCAAGGTGTGACGTAACCGAACGTGTTAACGCGAGTTATTTGAACGCGCCTCGAATCGTCGGATTTTTTTACAGATTTTCCTTCTTCCTCATCTCCGA